GCATAAAGATTGCTTAGATTGCTTTTATGCCTCTCTCTGAATGGAAAAAAATACATGTAGAACAGCTGAATGCTATTTTCAATTAATTTCTCTTTATTGCCTGTTTATTATTCTTTCAAATTGAAATATTTCACTCAAAAATTGAAGAAAATATGTTAGAAAAAAGTGGGGTTTTGTTGTTGTTGCTTCCCTGGACCTTTGGAATTCTACATATCCCCTATTTAACAAATCTTGAGGCTTTTTCTTTAGCTGTAATTTCTAAAGCATTACCTAAGTCAGAAGAATCCTTCAGATGACTTATTGAGCCTTTGTAATAATGTTTTCAAAGAATAATCACTTCATATAGTTATACAAATAATTGTTATTTGTCCATAGTTATTCATATATTCAAATGATGTTATACATATACCAATGTTATACATACATGAACATTTACTTAGTATTACTATGTGCCAAGCTCTTTATTTATACAGCCTCTTTAGAGCTGTTGTTAAGGATTGCCTTAGTAAGATACTACTAATACGTGCTTTTTAACAGAAACAAGCACAGAGAGATTGAGTGACTTGCCCAAGGTCACACAGCTGGAATTTGATCTAAACTTTTTGACTTCAAAATGTATGCAACTAGGAACCAGCGCTGTGCCTGTGGTGCCAGCATCTCATATGGGCTCTGGTTTGTGTCCTTGGCTGCTCCTCTTCAGATCCAGCTCTCTGCTATAGCCTGGGAAAGCAGTGGAAGAAGGCCCAAATGCTTGAGTCCCTGCACCTGCGTGGGAGACCTGGCGGAAGCTCCTGGTTCCTGGCTTTGAATCGGCTCAGTTCTGGCCGTTTGGAGAGTGAACCAGCAGATAGAAGACATTTCTCTTTCTGTCTGTAGTCTTTCTTTCTGTCTTTCCCTCTCTACCTCTCAAAATCTTTTGAAAATTTTTGTATAACTAATCAGTGTACTATAATACATTTTTAATGTACTTTTGAATATGTTTAAAACTCATTTATAAGTTATGAGAATGTATTTGAATGCCTCTTATAAAAAAATCACTTAATAGAAAACCAGAGTAGTCTCTAGTCATTTAATAATTACTCTTCCTGGGCCAGCCTTGTGTAATGCGTTAAGCGGCTGCCTGCAATACCAGCATCCTGACTTCTCCATTTTCAATCCAATGCTCCAGGAAAACAGCGGAAGATGGCCTATGTGCCTGGACCCCGCCACCCATGTGGGAGACCAGGATAGAGTTGCAGGATCCTGGCTTCCACCTGGCCCACCTCTGGCCATAGTGGCCATTTAGGAAGTCAACCAATGGATGCAAGATAATCTCTCTCTAATTCTGCCTTTCAAATAAATCTTTTTAAAAATAACAAGTCTTTTCAAAGGATGAACAACTCTATGACATATTCTAAAGTTTTTAATTTTTTTTCAAGTAGGCAGAGATGAAATATTTTGTCTGTAGGGGTTTTGTTATCCAGCCAAGGAAGACCTAAGAGGAAAAGTTTTAAAATGTTACAAGAGTGAGCCCCTCTGAAGTTCCTGAGCATCTGAATAGTCATACCCCCACTAATTTGCAGACAAGGAAAATAAAATAGCCCTCTGAGTAAAATTATTCTTTTTTGTAGGAAAAATAAGAGGGTTTTTTGGGTTTTGTATTTGTATTTTAAGGATTCATTTTATTTGAAAGGCAGAGCTATGGGGAGAGGGAGAGAGACAAAGATCTTCCATCTGCTGGTTCACTCCAGAAGTGGCCACAACAGCTCAGGCTGGGCCAGGCCAGAGCCCAGAGCTTCTTCTGGGTCTCCCATACGGGGGCCCCAGCACTTGGGCCATCTTCTGCTACTTTCCCAAGTGCATTAGCAGGGACCTGGATTGGAAGTGGACTGTAGAGTTTGGAGTAGAATTTGGAAATACTGTTTATGGTTGGTAAGTAAAGTCCCAGAAGGAGCAGAGCTGGTTGTCACTGAATTCACAGTGATACAAGTAATGCTATTCTGTTGTGCATGGAAAACTCGAGTTATAAAATAGAAGGGGAAGATCAATCTAGAATAAAAAAAAAAAAAAAAAGGATTTCAAACAGGCAGACATGGGCACAAACCATCCAAGCATAATTGCAGTGGCAGGGGCTTCTGGTCCAGAGCATTATTATTTTTTTGGTAAGACTTGAAAGATTTTTTTTTAAGATTTTATTTATTTGACAGGTAGAGTTACAGACAGTGAGAGAGACAGAGAGAGAGAAAGGTCTTCCCTCCATTGGTTCACTCCCCAAATGGCCACAATGGCCAGAGCTGCACCGATCCGAAGCCAGGAGCCAGGTACCTCTTCCTGGTCTCCCACGCAGGTGAAGGGGCCCAAGCACTTGGGCCATCCTCCACTGGTATCCAAGGCCATAGCAGGGAGCTGGACTGGGAGAGGAGCAACCGGGACTAGAACCAGCACCCATATGGGATGCCAGCGCCCCAGGTGGAGGATTAACCCAGTGTGCCACAGCGCCAACCCTAAGACTTGAAAGATTTTTAAGATTACTTAAATCTCTTTGTACTTTCTGATAATTTGGCTTTTAAAATAGTTTACCAGGGGCTGGCGCTGTGGTGCAGCAGGTTAATGCCCTGGCCTGAAGAGCCAGCATCCCATATGGGCGCCGGTTCACGTCTTGGCTGCTCCTCTTCCAATCCAGCTCTCTGCTATGGCCTGGGAAAGCAGTAGAATATGACGCAAGTCCTTGGGCCCCTGCACCCATGTGGGAGACCTGGAAGAAGCTTCTGGCTCCTGGCTTCGGAGCAACTCAGCTCTGGCCATTGTGGTCATTTGTGGAGTGAATCAGCGGAATGGAAGACCTCTCCCTCTCTGGCTCTACCTCTTTCTGTAACTCTGTCTTTCAAATAAATAAAATTCTTTAAAAAAATAAATAAATAAAATAGTTTACCAACAGGTGGAAAATACTATAGTTGAGAAAAGGGATGTAGATAGAAACACTGTGGCAAATTGTGATAACTGTTGAGGCCAAATCATGAGTACATGGAAGTGTGGTGAGGGTTTTGACCATTACTGTTGTCACTCATCCTACTTGTATGAATGAACATCCCATAGTAAAATATGTTGGTTGCCACAAAAAAGCAGGTGCCTGTGCCATCTGTCTATTGCATTTCTTTCATTAATTCTTTAGTAATTAGCTTTCTGCTTTAAGTATTATCAGATTTTGTACTCATTCATTGCAATTCAGATTTACTTTTAGATGTGCTGATAAAACTAGGTGTTTGAATTTGCAAGGCTGAAGAATATAACCTGTATTGTGGAAAATTGACCAAAGTAATGTCTTTGGTAGGATATTTGGTGATTTAGTCCACTGGACTTCCCGTAGAGGCTTTGTATCAGTCTGTTTATCATTACTTTAAAATAAATACCCAAGAGGACCTTCTTGGGAAGGAAAAGGTTAATTTCAGATTACAGTTTGGAGGCTCCAGTTCAGGATCCATTGACCCAAAGGGCCTAGACAGAACTTGAACTTAAAATAACCATCCTTCTTGGAAAAATCACCCTCGGGCATGTCCTCAAGTGACCCAAACATGTCCCACCAGGCCCACCTCCTAGCTGCCACAGTTAGATCAAATCTTCACCCTTACTCCATTAACCTTTAACATTAAGACATCAGAATTGAAATATCTGCATGTTTTGGAGAGACAAGTCCTACTGTACGCATAGTAAGCTTGTTTCCAATTATTTCATTGACCCTATCTTTAAATTACTGTTTCTTCAGTCAGAGAGCAAAAGGTCTGAAGATTGATATTCTAAGATAGGTATTCTTCAGGGGGTGACATAGTTTCTATATTTCTTCTGCCTGTATTACCATTTCTTTGTCTTTTAAAGTTTTGCTTTGGTAATTCTCTAGTTCCCTTTTCTGTCTTTATCGTACCATTCTCAACACTAACAAATATTTCATTGAGCCCTCCTGTTTTTAAAAATTTACTTTGGTCATAAAAAAATTATATAAACAAGTTAGTCTGTTGGGGAGACCATAGCTGATAAATAGACATATAAAATCAAACTCACCGAGTTTCTTTTATAAAAAGCATTTCAGCTAATAAGTGAGGAGGAATGGTAGAATTACAGCCATTTTTGAAGTGATAAATTATAAGATATCTATAAATTGCTTTATAATAATAAGCAGGAATGAGTTGGGAGAATGAGAGAAGGTGAGGCTGAAACAAGATTAGTTTTTGTGATAATTGTTGAAGCTAGGTGGTAGATACAGAAGATTTCAGTATACTGCTGTATTTTGTGTCAATTTTTGCATATCCACGATAAAAAGTTTTTTCCAAAAATGGTTAGGTTTCTGATATGAGTCCTGTAAACTTCTGATTTCTAAACGTTTCTCTGTCTTGGAATTTAAAGTTGCCTCTGTTTTTGCATATATCAATTTTTGCCCTTTTCTGAAAAAAATTCATGTAAACCAGGTTTCTCCAAGTAAAGACATTTTCAGTTTAATTATACTTTAAGAAACAAGCACTTAGTTAAAATTAATAAGATATACAAGGCAGGAGTGACCCTTGTTTTAAAGTTAATTCTGCATGAAAATTTGAACTTGTAAATTGGTGCTTAGAAGTTTATAATTTATTATATTGTTAAAAGACAGTGCTGCTTTCTTAAATTTAACTAGTAAAAGCTTGTTGGGTTTTTAACTGTTAAACCCTTTATTTTTTTCTGAAATTGGAAGATATTAAAATCTTATTTAACCCCCTTGAGATCTTTTTATGTTATCTACATTCATTTCCTAGATTAAAAATCTATTTGCAGCTTACTGGTTCAATATATAATAATATTCAACCTTGGAAGTAGCTGGCTACTTATGAAATGTCTTAACTTTAATACCAAGTTTACTTTTTTGGATTAGTTTTTTGTCTTGTGAGGTTTTTTTGTTTGTTTTTTGTTTTCATTTTCACAGCTCAGCTGTTTACTTACCTTATTGGTTGTAGGCTCCTTACTATCACATGTAATTGATTCTGTTTTTACTTTAGGTACTTGCTACAACCAAGAGAAAATGGAAACAAGACGTCTAAAACCGATGACCTGGGGTCTCTTCGATTAAATATATGCTATACAGAAGACTATGTGCTTCCTTCAGAGTACTATGGTCCTTTGAAAACTTTGCTGCTAAAATCGCCAGATGTTCAGGTACTTTAAAAATGTTTTAATATGAAAAGGCTAAAATAATTCTGTAAGTGATGAATATTTTAGAATATCAAGTTTTAGTAAAACTATATATTTGTACTGATGCCAATGTGTACTCCAAATTCCATCTCTGATACAATTTTGAAAATTAAATATTATATTAATAATATAGTTAATATAATTATAAAATAGGTTGGTGACTGAACATTTAGTAATGTTTCCTTGATTTGTGCTTGCTTGTTTTCTACCTTTCTGTTTTCTAGCCAATATCTGCCTCAGCTGCTTACATTTTGGGTGAAATATGTAGAGACAAAAATGATGCTGTCTTGCCCCTTGTCCGACTGCTGCTTCACCATGATAAACTTGTTCCTTTTGCCACTGCAGTGGCTGAATTAGACTTGAAGGATACCCAGTAAGCATTACATTGTATTAAAAGTTCCTTATGGATTGTTGAAATTGGACTTTCATTTACAAAATTGTTTTTGTATTCTGAGTTTTTCTATGTTAATCAGGTTTACTGTATAGTAGGCTGAAAAGAACTGCTTAGTAAATAACAAAAGACAGTTTTTTAAGTTATCAAACAGGGCCAACCAACTGTAAGGATAACAATGAAGGATTTTGTTTGTTTATTCAGTAACTTAATTGTTACTATTATTAATCTTTACTTCTAAGTGAAATGATTATAGTATAGTAAGAAATTACTGGTAAGATGGTAAGAAATTACTAAATTTGTACTAAATATAGTACAAATATAAAACAGCAAAGCAGAAGTTGATCTTTCCCCTTACCCTTTATCTAGCACCCTTATATGCATATGTATGACATTATATTATGAAAGCAATTAAGTGGCTTCCTGGTCCCATCATTTTCTTTTTTTTTTTTTTTTAAGATTTATTTATTTGATAACCAGTTACAGAAAGGCAGAGAGAGAGAGAGAGAGAGAGAAAGGTCTTCCATCCGCTTCTTCACTCCCCAAATGACCACAACGGCTGGAGCTGGGCCTTTCCAAAGCTGGGAGCCAGGAGCTTCTTCCTGGTCTCCCATGTGGGTGCATGGTCCCAAGGACTTGGGCCATCTTCTACTGCTTTCCCAGGCCATAGCAGAGAGCTGGATGGAAAGTGGAGCTGCTGGGACTTGAACTGGTACCCATGTGGGATGCTGGCACTGCAGGTGTCAGATTTACCTGCTATGCCACAGCCCCAGCCCCAGCCCTAGCCCCTCCTGTCATTTTCTAACACTGTTATTTTATTCATTCTCTCTCTCCATCTCCCTTCTGTGTGTTCATAAATTTTTTTTGCTGATTTTTATGTTTTCATTAGTTTTGGTCAATTCCAAAAGCCTAATGGCAGCAAGCATTAGATGGTAAGAAATTACTAAATTTGTAGATATGACCAAATTTGGTTTTACAGTCTTTTTTATATTTTTTTTCACTATGCTTGATTTCATGTATTTCTATTTCTGTTTCAGAGATGCAAATACAATTTTTAGAGGAAATTCTTTGGCTACCCGGTGTTTGGATGAGATGATGAAAATAGTGGGAGGGCACTACCTGAAAGTAACATTAAAACCTATTCTAGATGAGGTACAAAATATACCTAAAATGATAGTTTGTGGTCTTAATATGGCAGTCTCTTTTAACATGTGATCTGTTGATGGAAATGACGTTCTGCCTGTGTTTCCAAAATAATAAGGCTGAACACTTTAAACTATTTACTTTTTTATCAGTAGATTTTAAAGTTTTTTCTTAAGATTGATTTATTTGAAAGGCGGAGTTACAGAGAGGGAGAGGCAGAGGTAGAGAGAGGTCTTCTACCCGCTGGTTCACTCCCCAAACGGCTGGAAAGGCTGGGCTGTGCCAGCCTGAAGCCAGGAGTCTGGAGCTTCTTCTGGGTCTGTCACGTGGGTGCAAGGGCCCAAGGACTTGGGCCATCTTCTGCTTTCCCCAAGTGCCTTAGCAGGGAGCTGGATCAGAAGTGGAGCAGTCAGGACTCAAACTGGCCGCCCATGTGGGATGCCTGCACCACAGCAGGTGCCTTAACCCACTATACCTTAGTGCTGACCTCTATCAGCAGATTTTTTTACTCAAATGGCACATTATAATATAATCTATAGTTATTTATTACTGGATTTCAGTTTTAGCTACAGTTTTAAATAAGAGAGAGATATTTTAAAATGTTGTTCTTTAGAAAAACTATACGTTGTATATATCATTTTAATTTTCATAATTAACTTTTATAATATTTATTTTGTTAAATGTATGAAAGAGCATAAACTGAAATTCATTTATTTTCTAGATATGTGAATCCTCAAAATCGTGTGAAATTGATCCTATTAAATTGAAAGAGGGAGATAATGTAGAAAACAATAAAGTAAGTCTTTGTTATATTTACAACTGCATTAACATTGGTATTAATGGTGTATGTGTCTCTCACTTGCGTTACAATAATGCTACATGGAAGGAAACTGCTGTTTCTTATAGCCTTTACTGATAGCACATTTCCTAGGACTAGTTATTAGACTGTTTCCTCAGTAGTTTCCTTTATTTTTGCTCTTGGTTGTCTTTTTGGCTCCAATAATAAATAGTAGATTTAGGCTATGTCTAATTGTAACTGCCATGCTAGCCATTCCTTTGGGGTCAAACTGATTCAGGTTAACTGACACAATATTTTTAGTTGCTCTAGGAAACCAGTGATTGTGTTAGGGTCACAGGTGTTTATTGTAGTAGATAACACTGTCAGTGTATTTGTGCCTGCATACCTTGGGTTATATCCCTTTACCATTTTGTTGTTACTTCCTATGAAGTTGATTAATATATTTGCTATGTCTAACAAGTCTAAATTTAATTTATTAAATAGGTGACAATATAAATTGTCCTCTCACGATGTTTGGAGAAGGGAAGCAGGGTTTTAGAATACTGGATAGTGACTCTAAAATAATTTCATTTCATTATATGCTTTTTCATAAGGCTGTTTTATGATTTATGAAATTCAAAATGTTAATGTTTATCTTTTTTTAAATTTTGTAGGAGAATCTGCGCTACTATGTAGACAAATTATTCAGTACAATTGTAAAATCAAGTATGAGCTGCCCCACTGTAATGTGTGATATCTTTTATTCTTTAAGGCAAATGGCTGCTCAAAGATTTCCTAGTAAGTACCCAGTTTTACTAAAAAATGCCATTTATTTGTCTATATTTTATTTTTATAGTGTGAAATATTTAAGACTTATGGGTGTACAGTCTAGTTTTTCAGGATGATTCTTTTTTGAAAGATCTGATTTAATTTTCTTAATAATCTCAAAACAGAGTCCATTTTATTTCAATATAATGGCAACTTTATACAAAGAGCAAATCAGGAAAGACAAAAATTTAGAACTTTAACATTTATATAAATAAACATACTAGATGCTTATGGAATTTAAATATAAATACCCTTGTTACTTGTTCCAACTATATATTCCAGTTGCATTCATTCAGATAGTGAGAATCTTTTGTTCCATACAGTTGATTAGATTTGACAATTTTAAAGTGCTGCAGTTTGGGTTGTGAAGAGGTTGTGAACAAAAATGGTTTTAAAACTTTAGAGGCTTCTTTGTTGTAATCAGTATCCACTGAAGTTTGAGGCACATGTGTAAATAACTTGCTTGGTTTAATTTTGCAAAGAGTGTGTCAAAGTGCTGCTTGGAAACATTTCACTCAGACAGGAGTTGCTATCTCTGTCAATATTTGGAATTCCTCTGATTCTAATGCATCTTTAATGAAATAAACTTGCAATAGCTATCTTTCCAGATCTTCCTTTAATGGGCAGGAATGGGGAGGAATAAGGCAGTTACCTAAATTATGGGTTTTACCTAGCTATGTGAAACTAAGTTTACTTCTGTAACTATCTGAAGAGATTTTGCTATTTTATCATGTTATTTTAAGAGTGTGAACATATATATGTAGTTTCTGCCCTTTTGCTTATCTTACCGTCAGTTCTAAACTGGTGGAGCTGAGCTGTCTAACTTACCTGTAGGTAAATTCAGGTCAAGATATCTTTGCTAATTATAGTAAAAATACAAACATTTAATTTCAAATATGAATATTAAATCTCGTCTTTATAAGAAAAATAAGGCAAGCAAAGACATTAACATGGAAAGATAAATATTGATTGAAATTATATTTTAAATGGTGAATTAGATTGGGATTGGTAAATAGGTACCATACTAGCCTTCATCATCTCCTGCTGTCATCTTGACAACGTTACGTGAGACAGCTACTCTGCCTAGTAGGTTGATACGACACTAAGGTTTACAGACATTGCATAATTAGACCAAGGGCCAAGGCATAACCAGCAGGAAAGCAGGGTCTCAAACCTGGGCCCAACCTACTCCAGAGCACATACTGCCCATCACTCTAGTTTCCATTGCCTAATGATCTTGGCCTTAAATCTGCTTTAGCTACTTAATTCTTGTTTATATAAATGATCTAGAGTATACTTTATGGACTTTTAAAAGATTTATTTGTTTGCTTGTTTGAAAGAGAGAGATTTTCCATCTGCTGGTTCATTCCCCAGATACCCAGAACAGCCTAGCACTGAGCCATGCCAAAGCCAAGAGCTTCATCCAGGTCTCCCACGTGGGCAGCAATGGCCCAAGCACTTGGTCTGCCCTTTGCTGCTTTCTCAGGCCATCTAGGGAGCTGGATTGGAAATGGAAGAGCCGGGACACGAACATGAACACGGCACCCATATGGGTGACTTAACCTGCTGTGCCACAATACTGGCCCCTTAATGGCTTTTTTAAATAAATGCAAATCCAGGGGCTGGTGTTGTGGCATAGCGGGTAAAGCCACTGCCTACAGCACCGGCATCCCATATGGGCACCAGTTTGAGTCCCAGCTGCTCTACTTCTGATCCAGCTTCCTGTAAATGTACCTGGGAAAGCAGAGGAAGATGACCCATGTGCTTGGGTCCCTGCACTCATGTGGGAGTCCCAGAGGAACCTTCTGGCTCCTGGCTTTGAACTGTCCAGCTCTGGCTGTTGCGGCCATTTGGGGAATGAACCAGTAGATGGAAGATCGATCAATCGATCAATCGATCTCTCTCTCTCTCTCTCCCTCTACCTCTGCCTCTGCCTCTCCTCCTCTGTAACTCTGAGTTTCAAATAAATAAATGCTTAAAAAAGGAAAAAAATCCAACTCCTTAATTTTTTTTTTAAGATTTATTTATTTATTTGAAAGGCTGAGTTACAGAGAGGCAAAGAGAGAGGTCTTCCATCCACTGGTTCACACCCCAAATGGCCGCAGTAGTCAGAGCTGTGCCATCCAGAGCCAGAAGATTCTTCTGGCTCTCCCACATGGGTGCAGGGGCCCAAGGACTTGGGCCATCTTCTACTGCTTTCCCAGGCCATAACAGAGAGCTGGATAGGAAGAGGAGCAGCTGGGACTTGAACCAGCGCCCATATGGGATGATGGTGCTGCAGGTGGCAGCTTGACCCACTATGTCACAGCACCAGCCCCTTTAATCTTTTTTAAATATTAACATGTCTTCACATCTTTAGTATAATAATTTTTGTTGCCATAGAGAATTGTTCTGTTTTCATTTGTTCTTCTTACTACCCTGGTAATGCATGGGACAGAGTGGGCAGGCAGTATATAGGAAGCAGTTACTATTAAACAACAGATTTACTGACTTTTCAGTGGTTATCTGTTGAGAGACTTGTCAGAGTTAAAACTCAAACCAAACCCAGAAATTCTTTCCTTCACCATCAGCTTTTTATTTCTTCTGTACCGTCTTATTGTTGGATTGTTGATTCAAGTCTGAAATAAAAGCTACCAGTGAATAATCAAAGTACTTTTCTGTTCTCTCCATCTACTATGCAGCTTTTTTAAAGTGAAGATTTCTGCCTAGTCATTTTTATTGCACAGTCCTGGAGATTGTCAGGATTTTCAGGGGAAAATTGAAACAGTAACCTAAAAGTGAAAGCAATTTTGTGTACCAGTCTTAAGGGATTCAGTGTTGCCACTAGGTAGTGCTAGATACTATTTTTATTTTTGTGGTTGTAATTTTAGGATACTCTTGCAGATGAGAGACATTTTTCTGATTAAAATATTTCTACAAACCTGAAAGCTTTGCCTTTCATTTTCTTTCAAGTCATATTTTTTTTTAGTCATAATCATTACTATCATTTCATCAACTCAGTCCTTACTAGACAAATTCTTTTTTTTAATTATTAGACAAATTCTGTTGCTCTATCTAGTGTACATGTTTTTTAATTTTTTTTACTTTATCATCTTTAATTCAGTGTTTTTGTGCATGACATTTCACCATTTTTTCCTGCAGATGATCCTCATGTTCAGTATTCTGCAGTGAGCAGCTTTGTATTTCTTCGTTTCTTTGCTGTAGCCGTAGTATCACCTCATACTTTTCATTTGCGACCTCATCATCCAGTAAGTGTTTGTTCTTCTCAAAGCTTTATTCCATTTTTATTTTTATTAAAATGGGGAAAAGATAAACCAATTTCACTTGACTGTTTTAAATTAAATTTACTTAATTTTACTCGGCAGTTTTCTTAGCCATTATATTTTGTTTTTAGAAGATATTATAGAAGAGTGATAGAATGTTGATCATTGTTGAAGCTCAGTGAGGAACACAAAGTAAATTCCTTGTATTTTCCTCTCTGCTGTTGTGTTTGAAAATTTCCGAATTACAAGGGCTTTGTTTTCATTCATTACAGGTTTATTTTTATGTGTTTTTTTTAATAGAACCTACTTTCCTGATTTATTGAAACAGTTTAATCTGTGAAATATTTTAACTCAGATTTAAAGAGGTTCATTTCTGAAAGGTGTAGCAACTTCGACTGGAACATAATTTGTTGACTCTCTGTATTGCTTCTTTTTATCCACCTGAGGTTATACTATAATCTTTTTGTTCTGAAGTTCTATTTAATTACCTAAATCTGCACTGCAGAGATTTCCATGTTTATTTCTTAATATTTTAAAGTTCTTTTGTTATATTTCGTTTCCTTCTCATAGTGCATTTTTGCTGATTATTTAAACTTTCATGTCCCAAATATTTTATAATCTCACCTAATTGCTTTTATTGCTGATTTATATAACTAAATAAATAATAGTCTCCCTATTAACCCTGTGAGATAAATTCTATTACAATCTCCGTTTATAGGAAAGGAAATCACAGTACAGTAACTTTGCAACCTCACATAATTAGTAAATTATAGTTTGATCTTTCTGCTTTAACTGGGCCAGCCTGGGATTCTAAGGCAGTCTTCACAGTCCAAGTTTCACCCTTTTTCTTCTGAACTCATAGGTAGGCAGATGTGTCAGGTACTAGTAAGGTTTTAACACTATCCTTAGCACTGGAGATGCAGTGATGAGTAACCTATACCCTGACCTTAGGAAATTCACCATCAAGAGGCATTACTCAAACTGTAATGTAGTATAAGGAAGACATGAGTTTTGGATTTAAATTTGGTTCTGAATGGCCACTGTCAAGATTCTTGACAGCTGCATGACGTTGGCCACTCATTTAACTTTGTGAACCTGAGTTAGAACCATATTGCAGTGGCAGCAGCACATCGTTTCTTGCCAAAGGACAAATGGTCAGTATGTAGTGACAGCAGAGAGTGGGCCAGCGTGCTTGTTCACAAGGACTCCTTTCTGTGACATTACTAAAGCGGTACAGAGCTCAGGGACAATGGAAGCTTGACAGCAGCATTCTGTACGTAAACAGAGCTCCTGCTTCTGCACTTGTGACTCCGCCTTGAATGCAGACTTCCTGTGACAGATGGTGAAATAAAATCCTTCTGGCCACAAACTGTATTTTAGGTCACTGTTACTGATCTGCTCCAAAATTGTCATGTAATTTTAATGTTTGGGTTTTATCTACTTCTGTCTTTTTTAAGAACCTTTTTACTCTAATTGAGAACATAGACAAATACATAAGATACATAATCTAGAACTCCATACATAAATCTAAAGCTTGTACTTTGTTGGAATCAAGTAAAGAGTAGGAACAGTTTATACTGTGGAAACTGAGAACAGGGAATGATCCAGTAATCTGAGGGTAATGACATTATCAAGACTAATATTGAAAGTTAAAAATAGTAGTTTCAGAAGAGAACTGATTAAAGGTTATTGGATTTCACATTTAGAAGTTCTTTTAATTTTGAGAAACCAGTTTTAGTAGAACAGAAGAAAATCAGATGGCAGAAGATTAAAGAATTTGTAGGTAAATGCAGGTTTACCTAGAAATATATCCAAAGTATATATTAGTATATACTTATATGTATAAAGTATATATATAAAGTATATATTAGAATATACTTTTATATATATAAGTATATACTTTATATACTAAAGTATAGTATAAGTATACATAATATACTTATAGTATAAGTATATATATTATATATATCATATATACTTGTATATATTATAAGTATATATAAGAATATACTTATATATTGTAAGTATATTAAGTATACTTATATATATATAAGTATATATATAAAGTATATATTAGTATATCAGCTAGTCCTGTTGTTAAAAAGACATGGGCAAAATTTGAGTATGTACACATATGCACACATAGACATGAATTAGGGTTGTTGTTTAAGATTTATTTATTTGAAAATCAGAATTACAGAGAGGGAGAGTCAGAGGCTGAGAGAGAGATTCCATCCACTGGTTCATTTCCCAAATGGCTGCAACAGCCAGAGCTGGGCCAGGCTGAAGCCAGGAGTTTCTTCTTGATCTCCCATGTGGGTGCAGGGGCCCAAGAACTTGGACTATTCACTGCTGCTTTTCCAGGTGCATTGGCAGGGAACTGGATGGGAGGTGGAACAGCCGGGATTCAAACTGGCACCCATATGGGATGCCAGTGCCGCAGGCAGCAGCTTTGCCCCATTACACCACAGCGCTGGCCCCATGAATGATTAAAAAAAAAATGAATTTTAAAATAAGGTTATATTAACATTGATGCAGTAGACCACTCTTGAAAAGTTGCAAGGTAGGGAAACAAAAAAAGGACTGGATTATGCTTCTCATTATATCCCTTTTCTCTCATTAATACCTCTTTTGAAGACACATCTAGGCAGACTTCTGTAACCCTTTAATCTGACTTGCATGACTCTGACATCGTGTAATTCACTGTTGTGACATTTCTCACATTTTATAATTATCTGTTTATAATCTGCATACGGACTGTGAATACCTTGAGAACAAGGCTGGACCTTTCAGGTTTATATACCCAAAGCACATGGCATCGTTTCTAGGACAAACATGCTCAGTGGTTGATGAATGAAAGATGATACCTCAGGGAGGGAGCTTTCCTAAATCAGAAAACCTATGTATGGAGAAGGGATCAGCAGTAAGGGTGAAATGAAAAAGAGAAGGGACCAATAGTCTGGAGGATTTGGAAAGAGCGTCTTTAAAAGTAATGAGACTAGCTAACCTTGGGGAAAAAAGAGCAACTGCTTCAAAATGGATGGAACTGGAGGACCATCATGTTAAATGAAATATACCAGACACAGAAAGACAAATACTGCCTGTTCTGTCTCAAAGGTGGAAGCTAAAATATTCGGTCTGAACTCAGAATAGTAAGTAACTATAGGCCGGTAGGATGGGGTGAGATAGGAGTTTGAAGAAATAAGTTCCTAGTGTCACACAGCGTAGTGGTGCTTCTGTCATTCTCAATAACCTAGTAGATATTTTGTGAGCAAAAATGAGAGAGGAGCTCTAAGGCTCCAACCATAAAGTAACGTCAATGAAGTAGAAATGTTGCTCATCCTGAATTGATCACTTCACATCTTATACATGTAGATGTTGCATGGTAGCCATCAAACACCTATAATCATTCTTAACAGATTGTTCTGAAAAACACAAATGCTCCTTTGAAATATTTTGGTGAATCATATTTTGGTGACCTCTTATTGAGATGAAATAGTCAAATAACAGCCATTTCATGAGTCAACCAAATATACATTCAAAAAAGAAGTACCCCAAGGATGTGCACTGGGTATCAGATAAAAGTCCTGTTTATCTAGGAAAGGCAGGTTCATTTATGTAAATGAGTAATTACCCTGGTAGCAGGTAGTATTTTAGTATGGCTCAGATATTATTAATTCTCTGGTATACTACATATCTGAATGACAGGACTGTCAAGTAGTACATGTTGGTGTAAACAATCCTTTGGTATGCAGAAATTGTATAAAGCATGTTTTTCTCTCTTCTTCTAGTTCAAGAAATGGCCTAAAATACCATATTTAAAACCAAATTGTGGAGCAGACATTTAGTCTAGCAGTGAAACACTGACAACCTCGCTGGAGTGGTTATGTTCATTTCCTATCTCTAGCTTCCTGCCAGTGCAGACCATCGGAGGCAGCAGCATTGGCTCAAGTATTTGGGTTCCTGCCACCCACCAGTGTTAGCTGAAACACTTTAGATTCTGTTATTCTATAAAAGAAATAGAATTCTCTGCCTTTGAAGTTAACTCAATTCTTAAAGATGTATTAATGAACTGAATTTCACTAAGAATTCCATGTTCAAATTTTATTTTTAATTTTACTTGGGATACAGAGTGATGGTGACACAGAAAGAATAAGAGATTGAGAGATTATCCATCCACAGGTTCACTCCCCAAATGGCTGCAATGGCCAGGACTGGCAGAGCCAAAGCCAGGAGCCAGGTCTCCCATATGGGTGGCAGGGTCCCAGACACTTGGGCCATCATCTGCTGTCGCAGGCGCATTAGCAGGGAGCTTGATCAGAAGCATAGTAGTCGCTGGGACTTTGCTGGCTCTCAAATTGGGATGCCAGTGTCACAAAAAGTGGCTCAACCCATTGTACCATATGCCAGACCCATAAAAGTTATTGAATATGCTTTAGAAGTGGGTTGAGCACAGAAAATTTGAAAACTGCCATTTTAAGTTACAGTGTAGAAAAAAAAGTAGATGCCTCTCACAATCCAAAGCTACTATACTGTATGCAACATCTAAAACTGATTAAATTGTAGCTTTCCAAAATAACACATCAGTAAATATGATTACTTTGGGAGAGACTGACAGTTTTGTTTGGCTTTAAAAAAAGAAAAAAGATTTATTCATTAAAAGTCAGATACACAAAGAGAAATCTTCCATCTGTTGGTTTACTCCTCAAATGGCCACAATAGCCAAGGCTAGGCCAGGCTGAAGCCAAGAGCTGGAACTCCATCCAGGTCTCCCACGTGGGTGACAGGAGCCCAAGTCCTTGGGCCATCTTTCACTGTTTTCCCAGGTAGAGCAGCAGGGACTGGCACTGGTGCCCATGCAGGAGGTTGGCACTGCAAGTGGCAGCTTAACCTGCTGCACCACAGCGGTGACCTCACGTGTGGCTTCTTAATTTCCCGATCCAGTGAGTTGTGCTCAGCCTAACTAGATTTTTACTGTGTTGGGGGTTTAAATGAATATTTTGAGTGGTTGTTTGAGAGCAACATAATTCTGTTAACAGGAGTTTTGGTCTTTTTTACAATTCTTCAGGATGCACAGACAATTAGGACATTAACTCTCATCTCGAAAACCATTCAAACTTTGGGAAGCTGGGGCAGTCTGTCCAAAAGCAAGGTAAGTGTTTACATTTTTTTATTTTTACACTTCTAAATATAAAAGTGGTCCCTTTATTCACCTCCTTAAAAACTTTTTTAAAATTTAAATTGCACAGATACCATGTCCTTTTTTATTTAAAAAAAAAAAAAAAAACTTATTTGAGAGGTAGAGTCACAGAGAGAGGGAGAGAGAGAAAAAGGTCTTCCATCCACTGGTACACTCCCCAAATGGCCACAATGGCCAGAGCTGGGCTGATCTGAAGCCAAGAGTTTCTTTGAGGTCTCTCATGCGGGTGCAGGGGCCCAAGGACTTGGGCCATCTTCTGCTTCTTTCCTGGGCAATAGCAGAGAGCTGGATTGGAAGAGGGGCAGTCAGGACTCTTAACTGGCGCCACAGATGGAGGCTTAGCCCACTACACCACAGCGCCGGTCGCCTCCTTGCATATTAAAAACAAAACTAAAAAAATAGATATATACAGGTGCAATAGCTGTCTTTTAGGTAGATATTGCCTGTTAGCTAACTGTTAAGGAAGACAGTTTCATTTAAACCAATATACCTGAGAGTGAGAGTCTATTAAGAAGTTGCAGAAGCAGTCTGTTTATCTGTCTATGCCAGTCATCTTAACAACTTTGAAAGAAGTCTTCAGCTCCAAGCCCTCTAACTCTCTGAAAATATGTAAGTGAATCTTTGTAGGCCTTCATGATTACCTAAAAGTACAGTCCATTCTTTTCTTAATTCTATGTTTAATGTACATAAATTCTGTGTTTTTTTAGTCAAGCTTCAAAGAGACGTTCATGTGCGAATTTTTCAAAATGTTTCAAGAAGAAGGATATATTATAGCGGTTAAAAAGGTATGATTGTTTTATGCTGGAAATACTAATTTTTTTTTATTGCCATATAGCATTGGGGAAATAGATGTTGTATTATTTCAAGGAGTCAATTCCCAGTTTACAAAAAGGTTTATAGGTATCAAAAAACCTGTTTTTCTTCCTTCTCTCATACAAACCTGTGGGTTTCTCAGCTACAAAAATGCCTAAACAAGTTTTAGTGACAGCTACTATTTCCTTAGTAACACAAATCACAAATGTGTAGGAGTAAGGGTTCTCAACAAAGATACTACCGACATTTTGGACTGAATAATTCTTGATTGTGATGGGTTGGCCTGTGTATTGTGGGATGTTTGACAGCATCCCTGATCTCTGCCGATTAGATATCAGTAGTATGTCCCTAGTTTTGACAACCAAAGATACCTCCAGAAATTGCCAGATGTCCTCTGAAGGACAAACTTGCTTCTAATTGAGAACACTTGGTCTAGGGGTAAGGGTTTAATATGGTATCTGATGTATAGTGAGCACTTACTTACACTGTAAAAATGTGTGAATTATTGAACACTTAATGTATTACATAGATTTATAATAATCTAAAGATTACTGTAGATCAAAATGTGAAAAAGTATATAGTATATAATATAGTAGCTTGAGGCTTACACAATATTAAAAAATTACTAAGAAGTTGAGAATGTTTTGAAACTTTTTCTTAATTAAGAAAATTTTTTATTTGTTTAATACAGTGAGAGAGGGTTTCCAACCACTAGTTTACTCCCCAAATGTCCTAGAGAGTTATGACTAGGCCTGGCTTAAATTGGGAGCCAGAACTCAGTCTAGGTCTTCTACCAGGAACCCCAATCACTGGAGCCATTACTGCTACCTCCTGGGGTCTGCATCAACAGGAAACTGGAGTTAGGAGCCAGAGGCAGATATCAAGGCCAGGCACTCTGATATAGAACTGGGGCACCTTCACTGCTAGGCCAAATGACAACCCCAGGATCTTTCATTTCTTGAATCTTTAGTTGTGAGTCTTCTAAACAAAATACAACATTATTGTAAAACCCTGAATACTTGTACTTCAAAATAACTGCTTTTTACATTTAAATCAAGCTTGAAGAAAGTACTAATATATCATGGTCCTAATTTAGTGAATAGCAGGCCAGATTTTAAAGACTTCATTCTATTTCTGAGGCATCAATAGCAATTGATTGCCAAGAATATATTCTATTGAAGTGTATTTTTAAACTCGTTTTTCATACTGCTAAAATTCTCATGAAGGCTTTGGAGGAGAAAGTCTTTGAAATGAGAAGGCAAAGATAAAGCTGCCCTTTTTTACTTTTAGGACACTGTTGAAACATTTGTGGGACAGTGTAGGCAGACTTTTGTTGGCAAGATTATGACATATTGTCTTTTGTTTGTCATTGTTTTTCCATGTTTTATGACTTAGGCCAAGGTAGTATCTAATTTCTTTCTTCTCTCCTGGTACAATCAGAACGTATAGTGTTGATGATGTCAGTGGAGAATGGCTTCTGACTTGCTATTGAGTCACCCACTCACATTCTAGTGAACTGTCATCACAGTGTGCCTCCTGGCTCAGATTTGGTTCTAAATTCCTAATGTGCCATAGAATATTTTGCTCTAATTTCCAAGTTTCCCATTGTGTTAAATGCAAATATTTCATATTCTGAAAAAAAAATCAATCTGAGACACTTCTACTCCCAAGCACTCAGCTTGTATTATGAGTATTACTTTATAATGAAGAAATTCATAAAATAATCAATGACAAATAAGATAAACTGAATTTTTTATGATATACCTTACCACAAAGTGTAATATTTGCCCATTTCCCCATTTAGTTCTTGGATGAAATTTCATCTACTGAAACTAAAGAATCCAGTGGTACAAGTGAGCCTGTGCATCTGAAAGAAGGGTAATTTCATGAAATCAGACATGAAAGTCATATTTCAGTATAGAATTAAGTAAGTACTAAGAACATGGGTCTTGGAGTGAGGAGATCTGGGCTTTAGTTGTGTGCTATAACTGCTTAAGTCAATTGGTCAGGTAAGTTACCCTCTTCAGACTTTATGTCAGAGGGGCATGACTCCTTGTCTGTACAGTTTCAGAGATATTTCACAGTTACAGTGAGAGAGATTATGGGAAATATAGTACTTTGGAAAAATAAAAACACAGTAGTAGTATTATTATTAGAAGTTAAGGATAGAAATTACTCATTTGTCTCTCTTGTGTTCTGTGTAGTGCAATTAAATGTTTTTAAGTAATTGAAGACTTTATTCCTTTAGTATGGCCAAAATAAATGCAAGAATCATAGATGACAAAGATGTTTTCATATCTGTAATATAATCTTATACAAAGAACAATTCTTTCTGTGGATTAAATAGTTTAATCTTTGTAGCTAAATCTGTTTACATCTATTGTTTTGACAGTGAGATGTATAAAAGAGCTCAGGGAAGAACCCGGATTGGAAAAAAGAATTTCAAGAAACGGTGGTTCTGCTTAACAAGCAGAGAACTCACCTACCACAAACAGCCAGGTAGTTGTGTTTATGCTTTATTATGAGTTTGTTTTTTCCTGATTCTAACTGAAGATTTCTTTTTCACTTCTCAATGTGATACAAGTGAATCTTTTGTAGTTTAGAGTTTCTTGGTGATACGTACATGCTAAGAGTGAAATATTTAACAATGATACCATGTAAATTACTTTTTTTCTTACATTAGTATTCTAAAGATGATATTCCTTTAATGTGCTTTGTTTCCCAAAAATCCCTGGTAAATTCCTGTTGTTTAATCAGTGTATAAGGAGCAACAGTTAAACCCCTGGCCGCGCCAGCACCCTGGGTTCTAGTCCCAGTTGGGGCGCCGGTTCTGTCCCGGTAGCTCCTTTTCCAGTCCAGCTCTCTGCTGTGGCCCAGGAGCGCAGTGGAGGATGGCCCAAGTGCTTGGGCCTTGCACCTGCATGGGAGACCAGGAGGAAGCACCTGGCTCTTGGCTTCTGATCGGCGCAGCATGCCGGCGCCATGGCGGCCATTTAGGGGGTGAATCGACGGAAGGAAGACCTTTCTCTCTGTCTTTCTCTCTCTCACTGTCTAACTCTGCCTGTCAAAAATAAATAAATAAATAAATAAATAAACAAACAAACCCCTTAGAACTTGGCAGTCTCTTTAACTCTCAATAAATGAAAATATTTCCATAGTTTTCTGGAAATTTGGTTTAAAGCTTTATGTACAGCAGGCCATTAGCTTCTCATATGATAGCAAGAAGAGTTTAGAATCTAGATTAAAAATCATGTAAATAGAATCCCTTCCAAAGTGATCAAGATCCACAGATGTTCACTATTCCAAAAAGGTCAGTTAAAGCCAAGAATCATTTTTAAAAAATCAACAAAAGAACTGATGCATATTCTATATATATTTCTTTATCAGTCTTTTGATAGAGAACCAAGTTTTTTCTTTGGACACAGAAGTATAGATTAGATTTCCTTTTTGTCTTGTATGAATATATTCATAATGAGTCAGTTTTCAGGTTTCTCCAAAGTGAATATAGGATTTACATACTTGAAAAGTAATCCAAGTATGAATCCCACTAGATTTGCGGGAGGGTGACTATAATCTGTCACATCTGTGTTGCTCCTACATAAATCACCTTTATTTATGTGGGTATGGGTTCCTTTTTTGAAGCTTTTCAAAGCCTTTGCTTGATTTTCAAATAAATAGTAAACCTCTTTCAGTAGAGGACACTTGTCACTTTACGTAATATTTAAGTAATTTTAATTACAACATGGAAAACTGGCATAAGTAGTTTCAGATTTCATAAGCAAAAACCAGAAGGGTGCTGGCTTAGTAATAGCTGAGCGACCACAAACATCTGGCACCTCATGCACACTGTTCAGTGTGTTTTACAGAGGAAATGAAGAGTCTGTGCTGCTATAAATGTTGGAATGATAACACCAACATCATTTTTAAGCAGTAGAGAAGAAAAAAATTGTTTCATACTTTAGAAGCAGTTAAGCCAGGATAACTACAGATGTCCAAATATATTAGCCATACATAAAAAAACTAGATTCATTGTTACAGCATACAAATTTTCAAATAACTGAAGATCAGTAGGCTATATATTTGCCTTTCCAGACTTTTTTAGTCTGAGCATATGTTGAATGTTTTAGAAATTATGTGTAACATAGGTACTATCTACATTTATATTAATAATATCCATTTAAATAAAATATTTAAGGTCAGTTCTCTATTAATAAATGAGGCATTGTTTCTTCCTCATTTAAATCTTTTTCTACTGTAAACCAGTATTCTAAAATCTGTTGTGTTTTTTTTAGTCTCCTTTAAGAATTAGTTGATAGTGATGAACACTTTCCTTAAAATTGCACACAGACTTGAAATTTTGCATATAATTTCATAGAGTTTGTAGTCCCAAAAATCCATGCACAATTCTCAAGAACCTCTGTACAGTGACTTTTAGAGGATAAATTAGAGGAATTTTTAGGCTACTGTGTAAAATAGACACACTAGAAGCTACACGGTTTTATGTTAGATTGACACTAGAGAAATGAGACATAGGAGATTGAGATGATTTACAGAACCTACAGTTTTAAGCATCCATGCTTTTTGTTTTAACTTTTTTGATGGATTTTTCCAAAATGTATTACATGCTTCGCTGCCTTCTAAAAAAAGAGTTCATTGAACGTAAGTTAAAATTTTCTAGATGACTTGGGCTGTCGTTGATATTATTAAATGGTATCCTGATTTAGTAATGTTTTCAGGACTGCTTAACAGGTGAATGCAGCTATTTACTCCAGCTGAACGCCTTTACTCCCCAGCTGAATGCCTTGGACTGCTGTGCTTTTTGTGTTCCTGTGTTTGCTTTATACAGTTTTTCTCTATTTTACATGGTTAGGCTGTCACCTTAAAATTTTTTGTCCTGTTGGTGAACCATGATATAGTATACTGCTCCCATCCCCATTACCCACCTCCATTTTTTACTGCTAACATACTGTGAAGATGCAGTTAAAATTGTGCATAAGATTAAAAGACTTTGAGCTGAACACTTTAGGTACTTTTCCCATGAGTAAAGCACAGGGGCTTTGCATTGTCTAGTTGAGAAGATTTTTTTTTGTCTTAATTTTAGGGATTTTTTTCCAGTAGGTTGTTAAATTTTTTATGACTACTTAAATAATTGTTAATAAGGAATAGTAAGCAAATCAGCAGCAGCAGTCAAATTAATTTGTGGCAAATAACTCACTCAGCTAGCATAATTCCCTTGATAGTTTTATGGACCTGTGTGCTTATGATTACATGTAGGTGTGTGTTTGTGTGTAAACTATATTGAAGCCATCTTTTACAAATAGAACTTATCCTAGTTGTTTACTGGTATCAAACAAGATTATTCATAGTCCAGCAGTTTCGTGCAGTTCATCTAGCTTTGTGTTTTGCTTCCTCCATAGACGGAGTCACCAAATTATTTTGCAGTGCATTTAACTTGAGCTCTTTTATATCCATGCTTTTGCATATATTCCACCTAGACATCCTTTTCTTTCCTTTTTCAGTTGTATAATTTATTGTTCTTTAAGCCTCAGATCAAGTATAAGCTCTTTATGGAAGTCATTTTAAGCCTAGTTTGGCTATTTCCTTGCTTTGGTTCTTTAGCCACATTAGCAGTAATATCTGTCACACTGTGTGATCAGTACTTCTATCTCTGAAGTCTCTTCTTTAAGATACTCGATAGTAATGACTATATTATTACTAGTGACATAAAGGCAATTAGTGAATGTTCTTCTAAGAACACCATGTCTTCTAGATATGGTTGAATTAAGGAACCACTGTTCCAGGTTGTTAGAATTTCGAAACACACTTATAGACTATTAGCAAATTCATTTTTGAAATTGTCTACTTTTGAAGATCTGTTATATGTATGTAGAACTTATACAGCTTCCATGTTACCAAATGTTCTAGGTTGTATAGTCTATGGCAGTATAAAAGAAACTTGAATGATGTTTTAAATGTAAATGATACATTTAGGTTGTACATATGTTCCCACAGTAACTAAACAAAACGTATCACTGATTCAGTCCAGCTTATATTCTTCATTTCTCAACTTTTATCAAGTACCAATTGTGTACCAATCAGAAACTTGTTCTAGGCTTTGGAGAGATCAACAGTGATCAGAATGAACCAGAATCCCTGCCCTCTTGGGTGTTGTAATTTAGAATTGATGGGAAAAACGAAATCATTTATGATGTTCCATGATTATAAATGAGATCAACAAAAAATTAAGCAGCAAAGGGGGATAGAAAATGATAGGCTTAATGAGGGCTAGCCAGAGAAGACATCACTGAAAAAATGACATTTGAGCCAAGACCTAAAAATGGTGAGGGATTGAATGATGTCAGCATTTGGGATGAGTATTGCACAAATAGCTAACAGCCAGAACAAGGGCCCTGAAATAGAAGTGTTCCAGGGATGCACAAGAGATAGGAGGAAGTACTTGTGGCTGGTAAGTATGAGAAAGGGGGTGGATCTTAGAAACTAAGATCAAAAGGATCATAGAGCCACCAAGGCCCAGAAAAGCAGGTGAAAGGCCCCAACCACCCAGCCTCAGACCCGGGAAACAGCTCTGCAGACTTCACTACACAGATAGGTGCCTAGAAGCCACAGTCACCTATGCAGTCCTCAGAGGCTTGTTGAGGCATAACAGTTCAGTGCAGTCCCCACACAGCAGAGACAGGAGCCCCACTGTACTAACAAGCAGACTATACTACACTCACATGAGTCCACCAGAGTGCTTCCACCCACAACATAGCCATCAAAACTGATGCAAACCCCACCACCACCTCTGCCTCCATACTAGTTGTGCCTCACTTAACACAGACCTGGCTGAACAGCCCCACCCTCATAACATTACATGGAAACTGATGAGCACTCCATCCCAACAGCCATTCACAGCACCTCCAGAGCCACCAGTAAATACACCCTGCCTAAAAGAGCTGAATTCCACTAGTGGTACAGTCCCACAACCCCTGAAGCTCTGTGAGAGACATCCTCACAACTTGCTAATGTTGATTACAGCTAAAGAAGCTACATGGATTACATTGAGACACCTACCTGGAACTAAATCCAACACAGAATAGATGACTCAACCAACATCCTAGGACCAAGAGAAAACTTTTTACAACAAAAGCCATCATATAAAATTGGTAAAGGCAACTAATCAGGCAGATGCACAAATACCAGTATAGACACTCACAAAAAACATGAAAAAATCAGGTAATGTTACAACTCCAAAGAAACACAGTAACTAGCAACAGATCCTGAAGATTCGATGAATTGCTTGAAAATTCAAAATAATTATTTTAAGAAAACGCAATGAGCCGGCGCCGCGGCTCACTAGGCTAATCCTCCGCCTAGCGGCGCCGGCACACCGGGTTCTAGTCCCGGTTGGGGCGCCGGATTCTGTCCCGGTTGCCCCTCTTCCAGGCCAGCCCTCTGCTGTGGCCAGGGAGTGCAGTGGAGGATGGCCCAGGTGCTTGGGC